TGTAAATAATATCTTGAAATTAAAGGTAATTATCCCTAATTAAATATAATTGGGATAATTACTTGATACGGTTTATCTTCAATTGGGAATGCATTTATGATAGGATTTAGGGATAATCCTATCACTAAGTACCTTCGACTTTTTCCACGTGCAGTGGAGCTCTGAGTAGTCCTAGGATATTGAGCTGCGCTTGGGATGCCCAACTCATTTAATAAGGGCAGTCTTGTTTTTTTTTTGGCTAAAAGTACATGTGCCATCTCCATGATTTTTGAGATTATTTTTGGCTCCACATAAGTGTTTTAATTGTACACCTTCAAAGGATAACATAGCAATCATATGCTCTTTTAGTATCTACATAATTCATATCAACCGAGGTGCACAACACGTAGACTTGAGAGACTTCCAAGTTCACAATGAAGTATTCACTCAAACTGATCAGGAAGTAAAACAATAAGTCACCAAAACAATTCTTCTTGGAGGAGGGTTGGTTTACCCGGGTGATTGATATGCCATAATGTACTCCTACCTATAGCACTGGTAACCGAAGTCAAGCATATATATGATGATCTTCATGCATGAATAGCCGAGAGGAAAGAAACGGTGGTAGATGATAATGATAAGGGGTGTCACGTCTGGAAGGGCAGGAAGAATGAATGCGTGAGAGGTGCCATGGAGTGAGGAATATCCCTAGTCTCATGTAAGACAACTAAATGCACCTCGAGGTGTTGTCGAGGAACTAGGGTTGAGCACAGAAAAGGCAATTGAGCCACTCGATCAACCAACCTGTCTATATGTATCCATTCTACCAACTGAAATTTCGGCGCTAGTTCTGCTGCCTTGCCTTTTCAAAGTATTCAAGAAAGACAAACCTCAAAGTACGCCGTGCATGGGGACCCTATAGCTTTCACCAAAGATTGTGCTTGTACGGGTCTCTTACTCGTCCATTCATCTGAAGCATATGGACATTCCAAGAAACACCTTTCCCTTACAAGCCATTCTTGTGCTTAAAAGCTGGCATGGAAGGAGTTTTATGTACTCCCATATCCCTTGTAGATCTCATTGATATGTTAATAACAAGGAATATGCAAGTTTTGGATATCTCTGTATATAGGATTCGTGCCGTTGTGAGATATTTAAAAAATTTCCACCAATACGCTTTTTTCTCTTCAGTTGTTCCTTGAAATAGTGCACCGTCTGTCTCTAAAGCGAATTTAGAAAACAATATAACATAGTAGTTCCTACCCACATGGTCCACTCCCTTAACAGGTCCACATGAATCATAGTTAGCAGCTACAGTTAAACCACCTGCCTCCTTCGACTGGAGACCAATAGTTGTGTGAAGTATGAGCAATAAGCCTTGTTTGATGATGTGAAGGTAAAAATGTCATTTTATGTTTTCTGAGAGTAAATTCAAATCCCGGAGTCAAAACATTTATTAATATAAAAAATATTTCACGATCTCAAACAAATTACCCCTCAGTCAAATGCTTTTCGCTTTTTGGGAGTGATTTCCAATCACCTTCCTTTTCACCTTTTTTTTTTTACCCCCAAAAAAAAATGAGAAGTTCAATTCTGGTGGTAGCTGCCTACTCAAATTATACAATGGCGTTTGTGTGAAAGAAAGAGGACTTTGTCGCTCGTGTGAAAGAAATAACTTTCGACAATGACGTTGATGTTGTCTATGATGGAGTAGGGAATGATACGTTTGATGTTTAAGTTTTACTTTTCTTATGATCTCCATAAGTGTGTCATGATTTACTCATATGTTGCTGCATATATATGCCTGACCAACTCCAAAATTGACACAAGTGACTTCTAACTCAGTTGGTCAAGAGCATTCGACATTATCTGATATATAACATTTATTTTGGACTACGAATTCTTACAAATAGATATTGTTTTCAAGGATCGCTGGCAGCGATGAAGACTCGTGGGCACATGGTGAGTTTTGGGCAGTTATCAGGCGAGCCAGATCCAGTTTCCTTACAAGTGAATTCAATGCACCATTTCTAATAATTCGCTTGATTAAGATTCCAATACTTTACTTGAAAGAATTTAAGCTAGGGTTGTAAAGACTGATTGCATAAGCTCAACTCAATTGAAGATCAGTGAGGTTTTGCCTTTATTATATAGAGATTACAAGATAAGTATGTTACAATATAAATGTATAGTAGATTACAAGTGAATTCAAATTACAAATATAAACTGATAGAGTCTAAGAAGAGATAGGACTGCGTTGGGTTCTCTATTTGGTGAAGAGTCCTTGAGTTATCCAAACTAACTTTGACTTGGTGAGCGGGACTTAGGTGATTCAAAATGCAAGGATGTGGATTGCTGACCTGGAGTACATGTAGGAATAATAGGGTTATCACGCCCTCGCAAGCTAAGCGGGCGTTTACGAACGGGAAGCTTGGAGAGGAGATAACTGAAACAAGCAAAGGACAACCTTTTGTGAGAATATCTGCAATCTGATCAGTAGTTGCAACATAACCAACTTGAATTTCTTTGCGAACAACCTTTTCTTACACATAATGATAGTCAACTTCAATGTGTCTCATCTTTGCCTGATAAACAGGATTAGAAGCTATTGCAAGTGCACTGATATTGTCGCACATAACTTTGGTGGAGAAAGAGAAATGTGCAGGTCATGAAAGATATGGCAAAACCAAGATAAAGTGGCTGCCATATAGGTCTGTTATCTGTACTCGGCCTCAGTGCTTGAGCAAGACACCCCTCGCTGTTTCTTGGAGCTCCAAGAGACGAGATTATCTCCAAGGAAAATGCAATAGCCCGTAGTGGAGCGCCGATCATCATGATCTCCAGCGTAGTCCACATCGGCAAATGTAGTGAGTGTGAGAGGACTTGGTTTATAGACAATGCCCTGATCATGAATGGCCTTCAAGTATTAGAATATGCATTTAATAACAGCCCAATAAGTAGTAGTGGGTGAATGCATATATTGGCAGACCTAATTGACGTTGAAAGTAATATTAGGTCTTGTGAAAAGAAGATATTGGAGAGCACCGGCTATACTTCAAAAATTAGTGCCATCTGACAAAGGTTCTCCGTCATATATACTCAACTTACGGCCAGTTGCAGCGGGAGTGGTGAGAGGCTTTGCATCAGACATTTTGGTCTTCTTTAGAAGGTCCAAGATGTACTTGGATTGAGAAAGATACATGGCAATGGATGCCTGTGTAATTTCCATTCCCAAAATATAATGCAAAGGACCTAGATCCTTCATAGAAAACTTTTGACCAAGCTGTTGAATGAACCGAGATATATTATTGCCCGTAACAAGGATGTCGTCAACATATATCAACAAGTAGATAACTGTGGATCCATTAAATAAGATGAATAGCGAAGAATCTGCTACTGAGGCCTGAAACCCAAGTTCTTCAAGATGTTGGGAGAAACATTGGAACCAGGCACGAGGTGCTTGTTTTAAACCATATAATGATTTTTGCAGTCTGCAAATATGTGATGGAAACTGAGGATCCACAAAACCTGAAGGTTTGTTGCATATAAACTTCTTCTGCCAAAGAACCATGTAAGAAAGCATTATGAACATCAAGTTGTCAGATAGGCCAATTGTAGTGAAGTGCAATGAAGAGAATGAGTCTGATTGTTGCATGAGTGACAACCGGACTAAACGCCTCACTGCAATCTATACTTTCTTGCTGGTGAAAGCCATTTGCGACTAATCGAGCCTTATACCACTATATGGAACCATCAGAATGTCGTTTGATTCGATATACCCATTTATTTGGAAGAACATTCATGGATGGAAGAAATGGAACCAAGGACCATGTGCCAGTACACAAAAGAGCATTAAACTCTTCTGCCATTGCCTGTCGCCATTCGGGATATTTGTTAGCCTATGTAAAACAAGTAGGCTCAACCACAACATTAAGGGCAACAAACCAAATGAGATGAAGTTTCGCTAATGCTGGAGACTCATGTAGAGTACAGGATTCGGATTTTGTACATGCAATATATGCCTTTATTATTTTCTTTTCGGAGATTTAAACAGGCCCCTGTTCTTAACCCTTATGCTTAGGATGTCAAGCAACTACAGATCGATACATGTTGAGTCGAGTCGAGTCGATTTTATTTATTCTAGGAACAAAGTTGCTTCATGTTTCAAGTTTGTAAACTTTGCGTATATTGGCATCAATACGAATGCTTTGTGACAGAAAGTGCCTTGAAATAACATAGGAACATGCTAACTCTATCGTCACCATTTTGCTTGCTCCACAATCATTTCAAAGCTGCATAGCAATTGGGTTTTCTCGTAAAAGAGCAAGAGGTGTCATGTGAATTAGTACAAAGAAGAGAGAGAGAGAGATAAGTACTGCAAAGAAGAAGGGGAGACAGAAGAGAGAGAACAAAAGAAAGATCCAGAGGTAAAATTGTAACTGAAAAATAATTAAAAATACAACCACGAAATAATGTGAATAATGTGAGTTTGCTGATGATTAATTAATGGGGTGTGTCATCTACACACCATATTTTACTTCTCACACACCTCTTGATAATTTTTGTCCGTTGATCTTCTTCAATTCATCCGATCCGACGGCCGAAAATTAAAAAGGTGTGTGAGAAGTAAAATGGGATGTGTGGATATCACACCCCTTAATTAATAGGTAACTAATCCCTAAACCATTTTCACACATTTCTCGTCATTCAATTTGCTTCTGCTGAATTAAGAGTTACTTGTTCAGAAAACAAGTCTTTTAATTTTATATGGGATTTTTTTTTTATTTTAAGAAAACCTCAATGGTACGAGGGATATTTTATTAATAACGAAACAAATAAGTTACACTTAGTCAGGGGAGAATATAAACCTTACCCCTCATAATGCCAAGAAAAGGAGAAAAACAACATTGAGTAAGAAAGGGGGGCATAAACCTTACCCCTCTAAAAACGAAAACAAAAACGATACAAGGGAGGGGTGACATGAAACCTAACCCCCTCTAAAGCCAAACCTGAAAGAAAAATACAATGAAACAAGAGGACGAAATTTGACAAAATCATAAAACACAACCATACTGGCATATTCGTCACAGCAAGGAAAATGCCAACAAACTTACGCAAAGTACAAAACAAAGCTAAACATATTCAACAATTACATGATACATTTTAAGCACTATCCTATTCAGCAACTGTGAAAGAAGAACGCTCCATGGCATGTTTACCAGCAAAGAACCAAGCACAATCCAAAACCCCGTGAAGAATCCAACTCCTAAGCTCACGTAGAACCACCCATCTTCTAGTAAACGGTATCCACCTCCTCCGTCTTGCTCAACCGTTGCTGGCGGTATCACCCCATTCGTGCTGCAATTCTTGTTGAGTGGAGCTCCGCATAGTTCGTTGCCGACGAAGCTCGACTGATCGAGGCTCTGCAGTTGAGTGCTTTCCGGAATTCGTCCCGTCAAATTGTTGTAGGCCAAGTTTAAGTGACTCAGAAATGTCAAATTTGTCATGCTTGGAGGAATTTCACCATCAAGTTGGTTCATGGAAAAATCGAGAGATTCTAACTGTGCCATATTACCAATCTTTGAAGGAATTCTTCCGGTAAAGCGATTATTCGATAAATTGAGGGACTGCAATGCGAGGAGGCCGGTAAGTTCTTCAGGGATCTCTCCGTACATAAAGTTGCATGAAAGGTCCATGCCCTTTACGAATCCCAGAATATTGCTATATTCCATTTCTATCCCTTTCGTTACCAAGATTGCACTCTCTGTAACCATAACCGCATGCACTGGAGAAAATGATTCTGAAAAATTAGCCAATGCGCTCAAATTGTGGAAGCATCTCGGTATCATTCCTGAGAGTTTGTTATGGGCAAGGTCCAATATCTGGAGACTTTTCAAATAACAAACTTCATTAGGAATATCACCTTCAAACTTATTTGAACGAAGGTCAAGAACATGCAACCCTGAAAGGCTTCTCCCTATCCATATTGGTATGCTTCCGGAAAACCCATTTTCACTAAGGTCAACAACTGACAACTCCGTACAGTTCTGCAGGGAATGTGGCAATTCTCCGTACAGGTGATTATTGCGCAAGTGCAGTGATTCCAGCTCTTGTAAGTATCCCATGGACATTGGGACATTCCCAGTTAGGTTGTTGTTTTCTAAATTTAGGAATCTCAAGTATTGCCAACTCATCCAACAATCGGGTACTTTTCCAGTGAGAAGATTGTTCCCGAGATGAACAACCAAAAGTTGCTTTGTTTCATCCGGCCTATCACAGAAGAAGTGGAAAACAGATCCAGAAAATGATGAATTGGAAAGATCTAGCCAATATAATGAGGTGGGAACAATAGGCAATGCACCAGTGAAATGGTTAGAACTAAGATCAACAATTTTTTGAGCACCAAATATATTTGGAATCTGCCCATGCAACTGATTGTGAGAGATATTCAAATAGTCTACTTGGGAAGTTAAGTTCCAAAACCAAGTTGGAATAGTACTTGAAATTTGTGTACCAGACAAGCTTAGTATTTGTAATTGCGTTTGTGTCCGCAACCACATCGGCCATTCAGGCCCCAAATGCCAGGAATCCAGCCGCAAAATTTCAAGTTGAAAAGGAGGAACCCAATCTCGACTAGTTTTCAGAGTTAATGAGTTTCCTATTGCAAAGAAATGCTTCAACTTTGTAAGGTTGCTAAAAGAAACTTCCGACACTGCACCTTCTAACGAATTATAAGATATATCCAATTCCGTTAGCATTTTAAGTTGACCAATAACTTCTGTGAAAGTTCCATTAAACTGATTTTCAGATATGTCCAATTTTTCCAAGCTTGACAGATTTCCTAGTGACATTGGAATGGGGCCTGATATATTAGTATACCTCAACGACAACGACTTTATTCCATCTGGACCACATCTAGACAAACTTTCAAAGATTTCGGATGGTCTTCGAACCGTGAAATGGTTCTTTGACAGATCAAGAACTTTCAACTTACAAAGATGCCCCAAAGAATTTGGTATTTTCCCTTCCAACCGATTACCATCCAAGTGAAGATTGACAAGGGATGTCATGTTTCCAATGGAACTCGATATTTCACCGCGTAATTCATTGTAAGAAAGAAGTAAGGACTCGAGATTGTTCAAGCTATACAACCATTCAGGTATGGTAGAATTGAAGTTGTTCTCCTCAAGATTAAGGACTTTAAGACCGGTCATATTCTGAATAAAATTGGGAATCGGATCAAGACTAATAGAATTGGATGACAAATCAATTTCCCTCAAAGATGTGATATTCTGTGAAATGCTAGGAATTGGACCTTGGAAACCACAATCACTGAGACGAAGAGAAACTAGATTTTTAATACTGAAAACCCACCTCAGCATCAAAGAATTAAAATGGTTATCAGAAAGATCAAGGACGACCAGGGAAGTAAAATTTGCGATGGGTAGATGGGGAATTTGATCAAGTTGACAATCAAACATAATTAACTCTGCCAAAGAAGGAAGCATGTTTGTAACTTGCAACCAGTCAGATGCTTTGCTAAGATCTACATGGCTCAAGTCCAAGTGTTTTAGCAGAGAAAGACCAGAAATCCACCGAAGGTTATCAACCTTCAGATTGTAATTACTGAGATTGAGATAGCGTAGACTGGAGAGATTTCCCAGTTTATGAGGAATTACTCCATCAAACCATGAGTATCCAAGATTAAGGTGTGTTAAACTTGTCATAGAACCAAAGAAACTGGGAATTCGTGTTGTATTGAAATTATTTTCACTCAAGTCCAAGTATTTGAGATGCTTTAAACTGAGCAAAGAAGGATTTATCTTACCACCGAAACAAGAGTTGCAATCCCAATCAGAGTCGGAATTATTAAGGTGCAGCTCATGGATGTGGCCGGTCATGTGATCACAGACAACTCCTATCCAACTGCAACAGTCTGAATCTTCTTCTGCAACCCACGACGCAATCCGATTGGCAGGGTCCTTGAGATCTTGCTTGAACATCAGAAGTGCCTGTCTTTCGCTTTCTTTGCAAAGCGGAGGCCGACCGGGATTTCCATTGCATAAACCAATACTAAAAGTAATGGTTGCAATGGCTAGAAACCTGATTAGCAGTAAAACAACTCTCATGGTTCTCTCCATAAAGTTCAAGTGTATGAAGCAGGTGATGTGTATGAGCAATGAAGGATCCAGAGTAGTGCTACCTATATATACTAGGGAGCCTCACCTTTTCTAAACCATCCTCTACGGCATGAGACCGCGTTTTCAAATCGGTGCACATCTATAGAGACAAAAGTTTCATAGATGATAAGATGGATTAAAATAAACGGCTATTTGGGACTAGCTAGTCCACATCTATAGAGACACAAGTTAATTTAAGACCCCACTTGGAATTGGGAATCGTCGCTCCTTCAAATACATTGTATTAATATACATGAAAAATTAATTTTTTTGATGGATGTGATATTTTTACTGGGATATAATACGCCCACCTAAGCTCAAGTATTGCCAACTCATCCAACAATCGGGCACTTTTCCAGTGAGAAAATTGTTCCCGAGATGAACAACATAAAGTCGCTTTGTTTCATCCGGCCTATCACAGAAGAAGTGGAAAACAAATCCAGAAAATGATGAATTGGAAAGATCTAGCATCCTCTACGGCATGAGACCGCATTTTCTAAACCATCCTCTACGGCATGAGACCGCATTTTCAATCAGAGTAGTGCTACCTATATATAGTAGGGAGCCCCACCTTTTCTAAACCATCCTCTACGGCATGAGACCGCATTTTCAAATCGGTGCACATCAATGAGAGTAGCAGTCGTCGGACGGACTCTTGGAATCTTGGACAAAAGTTTCATAGATGATAAGATGGATTAAAATAAGCGGCTATTTAGGACTAGTTAGTCCACATCTATAGAGACACAAGTTAATTTAAGACCCCACTTGGAATTGGGAATCGTCGCTCCTTCAAATACATTGTATTAATATACATGAAAAATTAATTTTTTTGATGGATGTGATATTTTTACTGGGATATAATACGCCCACCTAAGCTGGGCGTCAAACAGGTAAATGTGCAAGTGAAAGTAAAAAGGGTAAATTACAATTTACTTCTTTAAATTTTGGTACAATTCTAACGAAATTTTTTTCATCCCATGCTCTATCATTTATATAGTGACATGTGATGTACCATCCTATGTTCCGGTCACATTGAAAAATCTCTCCAATTGTAACCTCGTACAACATTTCTATAACATTTCAATTTCATACATTTGGTTATAACTAGCAAAAATTGCCCATGCGATGCTGCGGGTTTTAAAAGCATCTAAATGATATTGTTGCTTGTATACACACAAAAGATCAGACTTCTAATTACATGCAAAAAAGATTAGACCAACAAAGTTCTTGTGGCTTTGGATCAACAATAGGACCACCATACAAAAGATTATGAAACATTGTTCGATTTACATGCAATTTTTCTATTTACCTTCAGAAAATTAGAATGATAATATTCAAAGATCATATGCCAGCTTGAAATTGAAAGACTAAACTCTGAATTCAAAACTATTTACATGTGGAATAATTTGAAATGCCTCGAAACATTATCATGATCGAATTGTATATGAAAGACCATCCTTCACTATTCATGGCAAGGCACAGTCCAACAGATAAGAGCAACTCATAAAACTCCAACAGATAAGAGCAAGAACGACTCAGTTTGTGTAGCGTAAAACCATAAACAAATTCCATACCATTTCACGGCCAATCCAGATACATCACCAGCAACATCATCAGATACATCACGGCCGTGTAATAATACTTGTCAACTTTATCTCCAGATCAGATTCAATTTTAAAACTATCTTTCTTTAATTTGTTCAGAGGATTAAATTAATGTTTGATAATGTTAGGAAGTTGAGAGGATTAAATTTTGTGGAAAATTTGGCCAAAAACTCTGATGTATTCCATACGATGGTGAATGCATGAAAAGTCATGCAGAATAATTAAAGCTTTGATTTTTCTTGCTCAAAGATGATAAGAAGGATTGAACTGTACATACGGCCATGTAAGTAGCTAGTCCATCTGTACGGGCAGAACTTTAAGACCAGTCATATTCACAACCCCACGAGGAACTGGGAACAGTCCTTCATACAAGTCGTCACTGTATAATGAAGTACAAGAGTATTTCGTTAAAACTCTCTAAATTTTATGTGGAAAATTTGGCCAAAAACTCTGATGTATTCACACGATGGTGAATGCATGAAAACTCATGCAGAATAATTAATGCTTTGATTTTTCTTACTCAAAGATGATAAGAAGGGTTGAACTATACATACTGCCATTTAAGAAGCTAATCCATCTGTAGTCCATCTGTAGAGTCATATTCACAACCCCACCAGGAACTGGGAACAGTCCTTCGTACAAGTCGTCGCTAAGACTAAAGACCCTTCGTAGCTAGCTAGGATGCAACCACAATTAGCCCGTGCATTCTGAGACAACCACAATTAGCCACAGAATGATTGTCAGACCAGCAATAAGGATGCAAGCTATTTCAAGAAATGGACCTTCTCGAGTAAACAGAATGAATGTGAATCAACCTACAATATGCAAGCTATTTCAAGAAATGGAGCTTCAACATACTATATGTAGACAGAACCAGAACCAAGTCCAGACTCACTCGTAATAGGTCTCCTCATCCACAACAATATCCCAGCTTTCCCCTGTCGTGCTTTTTCCATATTTGTGCACCTTACTGCAAAGAGAGAGCAAATTAACTTGTCAAAGAAAAACCAGAACAATAGATGCCAATGCAGTTCAGCAAGTTTATTTCCTTTCATACCCATTTCCAAAGTGCTCTTCTCCCCATGTCCTTGACCAACCTAGACATGAGAGAACAAAAACTGAGTTGCATCAGATTAAATTATTGAAAGAAAAAGGTTCACTTCTGTTGGAACAAATCGACATTAGAATCAAGCAACCAAGTTATGAAATACGAATTTAAAATGTAACTATTTACCGTGTCTGAAATGAATCTGTGAAATCAAATAGTTAAACCCTAAACAGCACCCCGGCAAATAGCATAAGAAAATTGAAATTAACCCTAAAGAAATTGGGAGAGAAGAATATGAAAAGGGAATACCTTTCGGCCCTTTGAGTTATTGGAAAAAAACCCAACAGAGCAACAGATAAACAAAAATACAGGAGGAAAGAAAATAAATTTTCAACTTGTAAGATTCATACGCGAACAGATTGGCGGTCAAAAGCATTTCAAAACTCAGAGCCATCAAGCTTTTTGATCTGCTTGGAAATTATTTATGGAGTTTGAGATTCTTATAGACGCTACAGACACATCGACATATTGAAAAAGCAATATTCAACAACCTAGTACCCATGCTCCATAGAAGGTTACAGAAAATATGAATGTCTGGACTCTGGAGTGATAAAGTAAAAGGACTTACCGCATACTTCATATCTTCTAAGTTTGTGTAGTCTACAATCCCTGTTGTTCCTACAAAAAAGGCATAGGACAAAAGCTAAGTCAATCGAAATTCTGACGTCTCATGAGCTAGGTCTTAGGATTAAACTATTGAACTAACACTGTATGAAATAGCAGTGTATATCCCAAAAACAGTCTGAAATCTGGTTGATAATCGAAGAGTTCGAAGGGATTTACCTTTGGATTCTTCGGCTTTCAGATGGAGTTTGCTTATGTGTGGGAGAGAGAGGTGGAGCGGCTAGGGTTTGAGTATGGAAGAGATGAAAAATGGAGAGAGCACCTGTTTTGGCTGAAGCAACGGCTCACACAATCTGGACAAAAATGCAAATGTCTTAAAAGGGGAAATTATAAAAAGAAACCTTAGCAACTGAATTCAAAGAAACATTCTGACATTGTAAATAACAGTTCACAGAAAAAAAAAAAACCTAAACTAATTACACTCGGATTACAATGTTATCATTTAACAATAGGAATTCCCATACCTTAGCAGAAGATCCTGCATCTGCAAAGGATCCTTTAAAACCTTTTTTCTTGAACAACCCCGCACTGCAAAACTTCCAGGCAAGGTAAACCAACAGCACCCTCATGCTGAGCTCTCCTGTGCATATAGACCCCTTGTAAGTAATCTTAATCAGCCAGTTATCATGAATATACAACTTATATTAATTTTCTACGATATCCAACACACAGATATAACAGAAGGGGAAACTTTTACTTAAGCAGCACAAAATGATATACTTTGCATTTCATTCCAAAACCCATCACTCTTATGTCTTTGCCTGCACAGTTTTTGCTCCAACATAGCCTGCCATGACGATAGCACTATCAATAATTAAGACATAAAGAAAAGGCTATCCTAGCTAGGTATTATCGTTGGAGTAAACCAACAGCACCATAAGTAGCAGACCAAAGTTTTTTTTAGAGTTGATGTCTTAACATGTTTAAGTAGCGAAAAGATTACAACACATTGGATGTGTCAACAGATCCATAAGCCGATGACTCCCTCTCTGGTTTACCGGATCATTCTTAATGTATTCAACAACGCAGCAGCAATTAAAAGTCCTTGGAAAATGACAAGCTACCATAAAGACATGACGAAAACTATATCTCACCTTACCCCCTTGTTGGCATAGACAGCATATCCGTCCTTGTTGTTCGGGGTGAATCATAATCCTGAACTCCATTATCATCATCGTCGAGAATGTCTTCGGCTTTTCTAGCAAGAACACCCCAAAACCTATGCTTGGATTCATTAACATTCTTCAATGACGTATACTCAAATCAGATACCGGAATCAGATACAACAAAACACACAACTCACAAATGAAACAGCACAAAACACACAACCCAAAAATTAAATGAAGAATTCTTTATAACATGCATGTTGATAATACCACGAAAAATTCCACTTCATTATACATGCCTATTGTTTTCTCTGTCCAAATATGAAATTGCCATCATCTTTTTTGAAAGCACAAACCAAAATCACTTCTCAAAGAGATCATACACAGAAGAGAGTGGAAGCTTACCCAAAGCCAATTTCATGTTGTTCACTCCTTCTTCTTTTGGACCCAACAATCTGTGGGTTCGATTGCAGCATAGTGATTTAGTTTAAAATTTCAACATTGATTATATATATATGTAGATAATCCTAAACACTTCAATTAAATCTCAAATTGCAAAGAACACTTCAATCTGACAAAACTACACAAAGGGAAAAACAAAGACAGAAAAATGTTCAAACCAATCTAGAAGCCAAAATGATCCCCCAACATCAGTAAATTAACAATAAAAATCTAAACCCATATAAATTCACAGGAAAATCAAAACGCGTGAAAAAAATTTTGGATCACAAATTGTCAGGTACAAAAGGATAAATTACAAATCCAAAAGAAAAAAAAAATCACAAAAAACTAAAACTTCAAATCAGTGAAGACCGTACCTTGAAAAGGGATCGCCGCTCTTGCCAACATCGGTGCTATCGCCATCTCGACCCTCAACATGCTTCCGGCCGTACTCGATGACCTTGGTTGTGGAATTCTCCAGCAATTCTGGCAGAATTGGTTATGCCTGTTTGCTCACCGCAAGGTTTTTTGCTGTGAATGAAGGCAAAATTTATAAGGTCAGAGAGAAACATGATAGCCACGGAAAAGAGTGCGAAAGAGTGGTGCAAAAAGACTGGCCGAAAGTTTTTCATGACCGGCAAAACATACACCCAAGAGAAGCAAGTATAGTTATTAAGATTTAAACATGAAAGCATTAATCGCCAGGAAAAATTCATCATCAATATCAACTTAACGCTGAATCATAAAGAATTAAGAATCAAATGAAAGAGCCACAACTAAATCACATTCCAAGAACAGAAGGTTATATGAACGAACACAAACCAATTACAGAACTCACACTAATTGAACACAAATTTCAGCAAATACCCAGAATAAATAGCAATAACTTAACCATAACCCAGACCCAAATCACAAAAAGCGGCAAATATAACCTCAATCCCACTTAAATCCAAACAACCAGATGACCCAATCTCTCAAATATCACCAACTAATGATCAAGGCAGCTACAAAACAGAAAACAAAAATGTGAGTTCTAATTGAATTCATTTACATATACCCTACACCATTAAGACTTAGTAATAAATTTATATTCCTGTATTCCATAAAGAAAAGAAACTCGTCATATAGAACAATTATAGGTACATAATGATTTGATAAGATAACACTTAAACTGTGCAAGACCTTGCTATTGCACCAGCATGGTAGCAAAGCGTAAATTATTTTAATCAGGTACATACCAATTGGTTGTGAATTTTCTGACTGCAGGTTGTTGAAATACCAGCCACAACAATCTTAACATCAACCTCGTCCTGCAAGGAAATGAAGTTAAATGTAAAACAGATCATTCTGGGAACACATGTAACCTAAAAAATGTTATGCATTAAACTTGTGCTTCCAAGCGTATATTATATATGACTTGTCCTGGATGTTCTTATTATATTAAAGAAACCATGATTATTGTTGCGTATTAAAGAAACCATGATAGTAGCATAGATGCAGCCCGATAAGCAGGGTCTTCTGTGCTTTGCAAGATAAACGTAAACTCTAAGGGACCCCCATAGAGAGAAGTGACCTGTTTTCGTTAATTAAACAAAATAGTTCAGACCATATTGGAAGAAAACCTTGGATACAAATTCAACCTATTAAATCAGTTAGCAGAAGGATATTGAACACTTCACCAGATAAGACATCCCTACAGTGCAAATACAGAAATTTAGATATGTCCATCAAAGGAAAATATAGTTTAACTATGTTAATCTAACATCACAAAGATATTGAGTTTCCAAGTCTCAGACCCAATAGAGTGTAATTTGAACTTCTTATGAAGCAAAACCTAATTTTTCAACTCGAAAATAATACAAAAACATGATTGGCTTTGACCACTCTCATTCCAAATGTTCTAGCGTAGCCCCTGACTCAAGGGCTCACCAAATGGGTTTTCGATTTCTGTATGAAATTATAAGCCTAAGTAATGTTTGATGACATATTGAATCATCAAGAGCAGGATTCATATGTCCCCTTCCTTGCACAGAACCTAAATATGATTGACATGTTCTCAGCACGATTCCCTAACATAATGCATAATATGATCTATGAAATGCCGACAAGCAATACTTTGAATCGAAGAATTTCGCAATCCCAGAAGCCGAATTCAAATGCCGGCAAGCAATTCATCCCAGACGCGACCCCAAATAACAAATTGAAACCCAACAAAACGAAAAATTTCAAGTGAATTTCTCGGCAACCAAACGGACCCCCGGATCTGAACGAAACATAAAATGGCGAAAAAAAATCTAAATTTTAAGGGAAAAAAAAACAAACCTGGATCTGAACGAAAACTGCTAGCGTGCTGAGAACGCTCTCTCCCTCCCCCTCTATCTCTCCTCCTCTCTGTAAGCCGCATGCCTTCCCCTCCAAATCCCACACTGACCGGTCGATCCCACCGAATACAATCCTAACTTGTCCCAAACCCAAACTGACAACAATGCCCACCCAACTTTTACCCCCATCCGTGCAATGTTAACCCTAAACGGGCATTCCCGTCATTCGAAACAATGGCAGCTTCGTAAAAAAGCTGAAATATCCAAACCTACTGGTTTGGTACCGAACTCTTTTTATGAAAAGTGAGTATAAAAAAGAATTGAGTTCAAAAATATGTTTGATGAACATTTAAAAACAGCTTATTTTCACAGTTTTGAATAAAAAAAAAACTGAAAACGTGAAGTAGCAAAAACGAGTTTATTCTTTCAGCACAGCAGAAATAGTTTTTTTTTTCAAAGCACATCAATACCAAACCAGAAGCCGACAGTGGCATGATCGTAATTAAACTGAAATTCAGACCCAAACACATAGGCCACTCTGAAAAGTAGTGGCGTGATCTTAAATAGAATAAAATTCGGATTCAAACACTGTTCATTTAAACAGTGCCAATTTCAAATCTTACTTTAGACTAAAGTAATTTATAAAGAACTAGCCTCTCCGCACGCACGTTAAGCATTTTTGCATCACAGACGCTACACATCCCTAAAGGTGTATTATGATAGTTTTTCTTCCATTGTAATTGTCAAGATATATTTTAAATGTATTGTATAACGATGAACTTTTTCTTTACCATGCACGTTCTAAAAAGTTGTAATGTTTTTCGTTTTCACTTTGCGTAAAGTAATGATTTAAATGTTATTCATGCAATTGTCAAACAACATGAGATTTTAAATGCAAGTTCCTATCTAAAGTCCATAAACAATAGCAAGTAGCATCCACTTTCCAACACTTATAAACATAATTAAAATTTACAAAAATATTAATAGGTCGAATTCCTGGATTAGAGGAACATAACAAAATAAAAAAGACAAAGTAAAACAAAAAGTTTAATTACCAAAAACGTAAAATAACCAAAAGAAAGAATGGAGCAAATTCCCTCACAAATTGCACACCAATTGATTGTTTGCAAGACATCTCTCTCTCTCTCTCTCTCTCTGATTGAGGCAAAAACCAAAATGGAAAACCTAATAACAGTAAAATACCAATCAAACATTGAAGAGAATGGAGGAGAGACATAGGGAGAATTCCCGACTGTAGGAGTGTGCTTGAAATGTTGTAAAACCCTAAAATTGGTTTAGTTTAAAGTTTAAGTTCATATGAGTAGAAAAGCAAATGAGAAAGAATACACATATGAATAAAATTAGATATCTATAACCCTTTACCATCCTGATCACTGTGGAAAATCTTCATTACAACCAGAGTCATAGAAAAAATACGACTCTTCAATACTTTTTTAACAATAATTAAGGGCTATGGTCATAAGGAAAATTAGAATGTTCGAAAGACAATATACTTGTAGGCTTGTAGCAATTAAAAGATTAAACAATTAAGTGGAGAATTACCTGTTAGAATTGAAAAATTATTACAAAAAGTTTGAAAATTGCCCAGTTAGATACTGAGAGTTAACATCGTTGTTTCTTTGTAAATACCACTGCTGACCTTATTCAAGAACCATTTTAACATAATAGGTTCTATTTGGATGATTAGAGTTTTGAACCTTTTCTTTCCCCCAATTCCACATGAACTGAGTTTCATTGTGTTGGAAATGTGCCCTAAAACCAATCATATGATGATACTTTATGGACATTTCACATGTTAAACTAATCTAGTTTAATATTAAGGGCAAACATTATTGTTTGAGCCGTCTCATATAAATGTTATATGCTTAAACGATAAGTCCAAGGAATATGTGATTGGAAGAATGCGATCTAAAGAAGTTAGATTCATGAGACCATTCTTTCGTTGACACATCCTAAACGTTCCTGATCATAGGATTGTCAATTGGGCATTAACAGTCCGTTAAGATCAGTACGTGCTATGTCTTCTCTCAGGGAGAGTGACTAGTCTCGAGTCATTGGTGTGTGTGACATCAAGACAAGTACGTGGGTGCTCAATAGAGAATGAGTTCACTGAACACGATCAACGAAGAGTTTTCATATTCATGTCACATGAGAACTCATGGTTGGGATAATGCAAATTAGTCTTTTGACCTGAGGCATCACAGTTGTCTTGTGGTTAGGTCCTTAATCTTTGATTATGTCAAAGTCACTCCATCATGAGGGTGTCCATGACATCGTTGGGGTTAAGCCACTTAGCCATGGAGGCAAGTGAATGCGCAACAAGGGATCTCTAACCTTCAAACTGTTTGAGGGAGAATACTCTATGATATGATTTAGAATCTCTGGCCAGAGTATGAATGAGATGTTGGAATTAGGGTTGGGCAAACGGATCCTGGACCCGCGGGTAGGGGCGGGTACCCGTTATTTGGGGCGGGTAAGGGCCGGGTCCAAAATTTCTAAACACAAAACGGGGCGGGGCGGTTCGGGTATACCATATTAGCGGGGCGGGGCGGATCTTGAAATAGAAGTGGACGGGCCCCCGGCCCGGCCCGTTTCTAGAATGAATAATAGAAGAAAATCAAGAAATTGTTTCCTCCTGGTCCTCCCAACTCCTCTCATTTCACAGTTCACTCAGACCTCTCTCCTCCTAACTCTCTCCGATCGTCCTAGCTCCATACATCGCTACCCTCCGTCCGTTGCCATCATCATCAGGCTTCGATCTTCTTTTCCTGACTCACTCTCTGGAAATCAGTTTCTCTCCCTCCGACGAACAACGAAGTCGAACAACTCGTGTACCCAGCAAGGTAAATATTTTCTTCTGCTTCCTTTCATTTGCTGCGATTTTCACATGGATCTTGCTTGTTTTTTGGTTGTGATTTGATTGAAATGGTCATCTGGGTCTGTTTTTATTTGATTTTTGGAGCTGGGTTTTTGTTCTTTTGGGATTTAGTTTGGTTTCTCTGTTGAAATGTGTTGGGGTTGAGCTGGATTTGCGATGAGTGAGTTCTCTGGGGTGAAGGTTGATTGAATAGGGCAATGTTATTGGTGTGCCGGGTTTACATTTTTATTTTCAAAATGAAATTAGGGTTTTCTAGATTTAGGGGTTTTGTTGAGTTCTTAAATTAGGGTTCTCATAGTCCTCTGATTCCAGGTCCCAGACCATCATCGATTCACCATCGAGAACACTGCTACCATCATCATGCTAAAATTTAGGAAATTCTGAATTAGGGTATTTTTATTTACGTGAATTTTTGGTTTAGGAATTTAGGATTTTTTAATTAGATTTGTAGATGCTATTCTGGGTTCTCAAAGTGAGCAAGACCCCAATTGAAAATTCATGTGGGTTCTGTGACTGTGTGCTTTTCCCAGTCTGCGTTTTGACCCCAATTGAAAATTCATGCTAAAATTCGTTTTTTCTTGTCCATTTTTGTATGATTGTTAGGTTGATATGGAGGGTTTTGGGATTTTTGGTTGATTGTTTGAAATATTGGAGTTTTGGGGATTTTTTGGTGTTGATTAGGGGTAGGGGTTTTTGATTGTTGATAGGGATTGTAAGTTTCGGGGTTTGGGAATTGTTTTTGAGGTTAGGATATGTTTTATTTCCCGAGAAAACTTGTGAAGAAGATGGAAGGAGTTCTAGTTTGGGATTTTTTTTTTTTTTTTGTTCATTTTTATGGCCCTGCGTAAAGATTCACAACCACTTGACTGAATTACTCCGCTGCTGTGCTCGTTGGGTTAGTGTTAAGGGATTGTGTTATGCATGCTGTGGTTGCTTTCCCACTACAATTACTGCCACCCAGTTGCCTACTTTTTATCTCTCATTTATCTTTACCTGGTAAGAATGTTACCATTCACTTATGCCCTTACATTTTGTTTTCATTCATCTTTCATATATATACATTTGAAACTCGCAGCATTAGGGTCTTTCG